GCTCCGTTTATTGGTTCTTCCGAGTGTCTCCGGAGCGGCGGGCTCATAAAGATCATATTACAGTACAAGCCATTATGCAAAGAGTTTACTATATATACATTTCTAAATGCTTCAGCAAACTGCAGCCTACKTACGAGCAGAGAAGGATAACTGGTTCGTTTGGGGTAACAAATGATCCTTGATTTGATTTTAAATGCAATGACAGCAAAATTTATTTCTTATTTAATCACTTGCCAGAGCTGTTGAGGATGGGATGGTATTAAACTGCACAATGCAGCATATGACTACCGAATCAGTTGAAATAGGCATAAGAATATATTATGTTTATAGGATAGAAAGAGATTGTACAGCAATGCATATAACTAAAATGGGTATTTTTGTCATTTATACAGTAGCTTATATCATTATTTCTTCCCGCTTCCAATTTTTCAGTAATAAAAATACAGGAGATGTGATTCTCTTTGCATTACAGATAAACCACCCTGATTCTTTATTAAATATTTTTATTAATCTGAAGTACTACAAAGCATTTGAGCAGATAAATCAGGCTCCGAATAGTCATTTCCTCCGTGCTATGGCTCTATAAAGTGGATTCATTTATGAGCGCGCAATACCAGGAAAGAAGGTTTCCATATTCATTACTGTGCTCCCTTACGGTCCCCTTCTCACATCCCTGGTGCCGGCGCGAGCGGGCGGCCTGGCCCCCCCGGAATGAGAGCGGCCTCGCGAATCCGCTCCCTAATCCCTTCCCGGCCTTGCAGCCGTTTAATTAGCAATTCCCGCCGCGGGATCCTTGGAGGAGCTGCTTCCCGGTGGCACTGTGGCTGTTTCGGGGCGCTCCGAGGCCGGATCACCCCCTGCTTTGGGGACATGGGCACTGGGGGAGCACTGGTGACACCRCTGGATACCCGGGCACGGCAGCATCCGCCTGGAAAAGTGGGAGGCCGAAGCGCCCGGAGCCCTCCCCGGCACCGGGATCCACGGACACGGCCGGCGGGGAATACGAAGTGCCGTCGCGCTCTACAGACGGCCTGAATTATTAATGCCCGGGGATGAATTCATATTTAATCTAAAGACTATTAATTACAGCGCGGCGCAGCAGCCCGCCGGCCCGCGGCCCCTCTCACCGCCGGGATAAGCGGGCGCTGCGCTCGGCGGTGCCACGGGTCCGTCCGTCCATCCATCCGCGCCGCGGCCGGAGCCGCTTTCCTGGGAGCCCGGCACCCCGCGGGCCCTACCGCCCAGGACACACGTTWATTTGCCCGGGTTTCTTTGCCGAGCGCTGCGCGGTGCTCGTTACGGAGTGCAATGGGCTGTTTAATGCCGCGTTAGGAGGGTGCTTAGGCACGAGCCCAATTAAGAGCCCGGCAGGGGCGCCCGGTTGGCGCTGAAGGCGCCGGGCTGCGAGGGAGCCGGGGCTGTCCCCGCGGCGAGAAACGCTCGTGCTTCCCGCTGCTGAACCGTGTCCTGTGCCAGAATGCCCCTGGAAACTGGGAAAGGCTTCTGGAAACTGGGAAAGGCTTCTGGAAGAGCGGCCGGAGAGCGGCGGGCGCCTCGCCGGGGCCGCCCGGGCGCCGTGGGGACGGCCGCGTAGACGGGTGCCTGTCCCACCTGGGATACTCCTCACATCCACAGTGGGAATGCGACTCCTAGGGAATATTTATTGCTTTAATTTAAATAAATAGGTACTTCACATTTGCAAAAACTTCCCCCTGCAAGTTCTGAACCCAAGCGATAGCCCAAGCTTGAGCGCTGGCCGTAATAAAATGCTAATTGCAATTCATAAATTATATTGGCATGGCTGGGACTATTGAAGATCCTGGATGAAGTGTAGTGTCCAATTTATCCTGCGCGCGTTGCCGACAGCGCTGCCAGCCTCCTCCTTGTCCCCCTGTGTTGTTTTGTCATCTCTGCACTATCGCCAATTCATCACAAAGGCAACTGAACTCTCCGATGTCCACCCACCAGGTGACTTTGTCTTTGCCACTCTATGACTTCTAAATTAAATTGTCAAAACACATTACCGAGAAAAATATCGTGAAGGGAAAAGTCCTTTCCCCTTTTATCCCATCTTAGGAAAGAACTGGTCTGATTTGAGGAAAACATGTCTGCTTCATTATCCTTCCTGCGATCATATTTCTTCCCTGAGCAGCGTCAGGGAAGGAGTCAATACGGGAGCCTGGGATGACATGATGGAGCATCCCCCAGGAGCTRTCTCAATAAATCCAGGGAAGGGGGGGATTTTCACTGCCTTGCCTTCCTCCCACTCTCAATTTAAAAGAGATTAGGGCTCCTCCGTGCTGCACGTGGCCTGGGTGGGCTCCTTGAAGGACCTGCAATAAGGTGGCCCAGGAGAAGGTCCAGCTGCTTGTGGAGGAGCCCTTGCACGTGCGACCTCCTTATGGGGGAGCTGGAAATGTCTCTGTTGGGACCAGGTGCTCAACGGGGARCAGGGGGACCGCAGGCTGCTTCCCTCCATCTCCTCTTTGCTTCTTCTGCCCCCAACTACGAGCCTGGTGCCCSACTAGCCCGTAAATGCAGAGCAGCCCTCGGGCGAGCGCCTGCAAACATTAACTCAAGGGCAGTTTCGCAGCCCTGTTCAGCAGGGCTTGGATCGCTCTCGCTAATCCCAGAGATTCCTGCTGCGAGACGCAATCACCTAAAATAATTCGGCTGGAGGCATAAAACAACAGAAGCCATTTCTCAGAGGGAAAGAGATGCCAATTTCCACCTTTTCTCACACGTTGGTTCCTGGGCATGATGTATCAGTCATAAAAAGYGAGCAGCACATTGTGCTCTGCCGCTTCTGGCTTCGGACAATGTTAACATAATAAACGTGCGCTGTTTATTTATTCCGCTATAGTGCAAATAAAGCAGACAATGCCCCGCGTTTAAATGGRGTATTTTTAAATGCTCACATTTCCTTAGCTGTTATGATGCATTAGCCATCAGTAGTCAAATTGCCTTGTATTTGCAGTTTTATGGGTACATTTTATCAAGCATACAGGGGCTGCGCCGAAACCACAGAAATAAAGTATTCCACTTGTGTTAGGCAAGAACTATTTAGATGCAAGATATGGCTGACCAGCAGAAATCTCTATTTTCATTTATTTATTTATTTATCTATTTATTTTTTGCTGCAGCAGTTCCAAATTCATCTCCAAATATTGCTCCTGCTCCCAGTTAGAGCTGCCGAGAGCCGGTTTTATGGCTACGGAGCATCCCCGCACACTGAGCGCTCACGTCTGAACCCAGCCTGCCTCAGAAACCACCTGAGTGTTTCTTTGCGGTTTTAAACTATCAAAACATCAAAATGTTTTCGCTCTTCTCCCCACTGAGCCGGTGGCTGCCGGGGACGCAGGGTGATGCCTTCCTGAGGCACCACAYGCTCCTTCGGCCTCCCCAGCAAGGCAGTAAAAGCCCCGTTGAGCAAATAATATGAATAAAATGAGGCTGAGGGTTGTTTGGTGGCCTCTCTCGTGGTCCCCAAGCGTCTGCCAGGGTTGTGGCACAGGCCTAAGGGGCAGGAAGGGAGGCACCACGTCGGAGGCACCACGAGTGACGATGCTCAAGTCGCGCTTGCTTCTCGCAACGCCTGGAGCTAAATCGGCTTTTTAAGGRGTGGATTGAATTTGAATTCTCTAGAGCTCCTGGTTCCTTTTCGCATAACACCGTATTGCCTCTAATGTCTGTGGGCCTTCTAATTTTATCTGGATTTATTTCTCCCCGAGAGCTTTATCTGCCTTTCAACCAACTCCAGGCTGAGTGTGTAACATGAATATTACAGCGCTCACTCGGAGATGAAACGATGACACATTCCTCATATTTTTGAGCCAAGTACAGCCCTGTTTAATACATACATAAATAAACAGCAGCTATATCTGCAATGCCTTTTTTTTTTTTTCTTTAGAGCTTCAAGTACATTGAAGGAAAAAAAATCACAGATTCAGGCAGCAATGTGGGAAGCCAAAACAGGCCAATATTGACTCAAAGCATACTGAGTGTGTGGGGTGCTTGTGACCAGTGCCTCATTATCAATTAGCCATGAATTAATTGTCATGGGAAGGGGCTGCCCATGGGGCAGGGCCGCCCCACGGGGCGCGACATGGCGGCCCTCACGGCGGCCAAGCGTCATGGCGGCCGCGGAGCAGGCGTCATGGCGGGCCCAGGCCCAGGCCGCGGCGCCGCCGGGCCCGACAGCCCCGGGAGCGCCCGGCTCGACCCGGCCCGGCCCGGCCGAGGGCTCCGTGCCCCGAGCGCAGCTCGGCGCCCCCCTCTAGAGGCCGCGCGGGGAATGGCGTCCTGCCCTCCCCGAACTACAACTCCCGGCGTGCCCCGCGGCGCGGGGACTACAGCTCCCGGCGTGCCCCGCGGCGGCCCTGGCCCGCACCGGCACTCCCTGGTGCGCCAGGAAGTTTATTTTATTTTATTTTATTTTATTTTATTTTATTTTATTTTATTTTATTTTATTTTATTTTATTTTATTTTATTTTATTTTATTTTATTTCATTTCATTTCATTTCATTTCATTTTTTACTTGGTTTATTTTCGTTTCATTTAATTTCGTTTTATTTTTCAGTTGAATCCAATTTAATTCCTTTTTAATTCGTTTTAATTTATTTTAATCTAATTATACATTTTCTATACATCACGCCGCCTCCCTATCCCCACCGTGGGGTATAAATCAGCACCCAGCGGCCCTTGCGCCCTTCACTTCCGGTGCGCCGCCGTAGGAGACTACAACTCCCGGCATGCCGCGCGCTCCGGTGGYGTCCTTCCGCTTCCGCCCGCCGTGCCGCGTCCGCCCCGCCGCTGAGGAGGCGCCGCGGGGCCGGGGCCGGGAGCGGGTCCGGGAGCGGGCGGAGCGCGGGGGGCGGCGCGGGGCGCCCGGCGCTGCTGCTGCTGCTGCTCCTCCTGCTCCTCCTCCCCCCCATCCCCGCGGGGCCCGGCCGCGGGTCACCTTCATGGGCGGGCGGTAGCGCGGGGCGCCGCGCCGGGGCCCGGGGCCATGTTCGTGCAGGAGGAGAAGATCTTCGCCGGGAAGGTGCTGCGGCTGCACGTGTGCACCGTGGAGGGCGCCGAGTGGCTCGAGGAGGTCGCGGAGGACACCACGGTGGAGAAGCTCAAGGAGCGCTGCCTCAAGCACGTAAGCTCCGCGGGGAGAGCAGCCTCGTAAACACCCCCTGTATATATTTAGTTATTATAACACCCTTTTACTAAATAAACACGTGAAAACARATATTTCTGCGCTCGCACTCCTAGCCTGCCCCCTCTGCCACTCTCGTTTTCCTGCCCCCGGCCCTGCGAGCACCTCCCGTTCGGAAAGCGAGGGCTATTTTGAGACCTGGGTGCGCTGGCAAACGCCGGGTTGGGGGGAAGTCGCTCTGCAGGCTGTCGGTGCAGAAAGGGGGGGTCTGGGGGCTGCAGCAGCATCCGGCCCTCCTTGCGTATTAAGCTCTTTATATCCTGGTGACCGTTTGTTGGCATTGGTTACTGCTGAATTCCCAACAGAGACTAGAGTCTGTCTGGAAACAAAATGTTGTTTCCAGCTTGTATTTTAAGGATAAATAATGAAAGTAATGGCTGTGGGGAAGGGCTTCCTTTTTTATGGAAAAAAAATCATAGTATTTTGACCTGTGTGGGCGCTAGGGTGGGTTTCTTTGGCGCGCTAACAGACTCTTCTAATGCTTTCCCAGTGCTCTGAGGATTGGGGTCTTAATGAGCATGTTCAAAGAGTAAGTTTCTAATCACTCTCTGTAAGAAAATATGTAGGAAAATACACCGCTGCATTCTGTGGAAGCTGAGCTGGAAAATGGGGTCTTTTCGTATTCAAACTTGTATGTTTGTGGTTGTTAAACATCAARACCAGTGGTTTAAAAACCTATTGGATTCAATTTCCAAGAGCTGCTATAACTGTGCTTTATCTTAAAGCAAAGATGTGGTTGATAAGAACAGTGTTATGAGATAGTGATTTCTGAGCAGGGCTGTTCTGAAGATGGAGACGAAAAACTCGAGTCAAAAGCTGTGGGAATTCTTGCTGAGGGGCTTAGTGAAGCTCCTTTAACTGTCAGGGGAAAGGGGCCAGGACCTCTGCTCTGACCTCTGAAAAGGACTGCAGGTAGTAAAAGGGTTTTCATCTTCAAAGTGCTTCAGACATGTTAAGAAATCTTGTAGTTATTAATAACTCCAGGTTGCAATATGAGAACATCCTTCAGGCTGTGGTTAACTGATCACATCTTTCAGGTAAGTTCAGGCTGTGGTAGGTTATTTAGATCGCTGCGTTCCCTGGTGAGCACGAGGTAGAGCGGGGATGGATGGCAGCCCAGGTGCTCTCTGCAGTGAGCCCTGGAGTTGCTTGTTTTTAACTCAAACCTCTGGGAAGCGCAGGGGACAGCACGTGTTTTTCTGGCTTGATCTTCACAGGTGCTTTTWGATTCGGAGGTGAGAACAGCTGCATCTGGCTTTCTCCATCTCAGGTTGGCTATCACCTTTTTTGAGGCCAAAAGAGGTTGTGTTGCTGGAGGGAATGGCTGAGTGGCTCTCCCTGGATTATTGGTGCTCATGGAAGGGTAAAATCGCGTGGAGTGATGGTCACACACATACGTGGAGCCCTGAAAGACCCTTGGTGCTCAGGAAGCTTAAGTGAGTTGACATTCACATGTAGTGAGAGCCAGGGCAGAAGACAAATTGATAATGTGAATGGGGATGTTTGATTTCAGCTCTCTGCTGCTTTATGCTAATGGTGTGGATTTGCATAACCATTATCCATAATATATAGCTTTATGGAGGGGAAAATAGCCAAAGGGAAAATCATGAGTGGTGATCATGGGGTTATTGCAATAGATCTTGATAATGCCTTGATATAATTTATGCAGCTACCTTTTCTGCTGATTATATAAGACTCAAAGTTGTTGAAATCCTTCTCGCAGGAAGCGAAGGAAGATGGCATTTGTTGGGGTGTCCAAATTAGGGAGGTGGGTGCTCTGTCTCCCTCCATAACATCCAAATGCTTACTGATCTCTGAAGAGTTGTTCTATGATATTTTTTCCTAAGTTTTTTTTATATATATATATATACATAAAACATTTGCTCACAGACTCGGGCAAAATTACTTATGAGTTTTATCTGTGGACCTGTAACAATTCAGTGATGATTACATAATTTAATAATTTCAGTAATGTTACATAGCTAGTCTGTGGCAGGGGATTGAGGGAAGGAAATTGCGTCCTTTCCTAGATACTTTTCAGCTCAAGCTTTACCATTAAAGCTTTCTTTCAGAGCTGTTGCTGTCCCTGTGCAGAGCCCCAGCACCTCAGCAGGGGCTCCTGGTGCAGCCCAGCTGGCAGGACTGAGCCCCAAGGTCTTGGGAGGTCTCTTTAAAATGAGTCTGTTCCCCTGGGAGCCAGAACTGGGAAGCTCAGTCAAGCCTAGCACCCAAGCCCAGCCTGTGTGTTCTCCTTATCTATAATTCTTGTGCCCAGACTGGCGTTTCCAACTAATGTGCTGTGTGCATGTAAACTGCCTCACCCTGCTAAGCAAGCTACAGGTAGAAGCTTTTAGTGTTTTTGTTTTCCTTCACGTGCCGCAGTGATCCTCACTCACCTGGTTTTCAGGTGCAGAACAGAGGTATGAGGTACAGCATGCAAGGCTAAGGTGGGTTCRTGCCCCTACATATGTTTTGGATGCTTTGTGAGAGAGGAAGGTGGTTTAACCACCCAGGGAGTGTCAGCACTATTTAAAAATGTTTCTGTTAATGAAAGCAAACAAACAACAAAACCCTTTTCGTATTTAAAAGCAAACAAACAGCCAGCTTTGTGGTTTATCGAGATTCCAAGTACTGAAAATAGTATCCAGTATCAGGACTTGCAAGTTTGGTGGTTGCTCAGGCATCTGTGAACAAAAGCTTGCTGGGAACTCCCATATTAGAAAGAAATGCAAATATTTATGCTGCGAGCAACAGCATAAAACATACAGCAGGTTCTGTCCTTCACCTTTTGTGCACAGAGGTGCAAGAGCTTCTCTTCAAGGCAGCTGTGTCCTTGACTGCACGTAGGGCAGTGCACGTGGACCACCAGGCTCCAGGTGCTCCCTSCTTTCTTGGCTTCCCTTTGCTTGTGTGACAGGCCCTCTTCCCTGCATAGGGAATTCTTCCTAGGAATTCCCAGGACTCTTCCTGTGGGCAGGAAGATGTAGAAGGTGTCCATGGGACTTCAGCTTTACAACAGCTTTACTAGGGGAAAGCCTGAAAAAAACATTGCCTTGAATCCATGGGTTGCTAAGGGTGAGAAGGTGATTACTGGCAGTTTAGTTTTTCAGTTGCGCTTTCATGTCATTAGTAAATGTTATGGTCATATACGTGCACAACCTGATATGTGCAAGGAAAAAATAACATTGGCAAGTGCTCCAAGTGATTGGCAAGTGATTACTTGCAGCAGGTTCCATTCCCCCTGGTTCGTGTATTCAAATTCTTCTCTTTTGGGGTATGATCTAAAGATCTGTGAAGTTAATATTGAGCTTTATCAGATGTGAGATGTTCTGCTGATGTCCTTATGCATTTTGGATAACTTATTGGATCAATTATAGGAGCTACTCCCCATTGCTGTAGACCTTAATGCATTCTTTGGCCTTTGTTCAGCAGTTCATATACTGAAGCATTGGTAAGAAGTTATACAAAGCAGGACTGAAATGTTCTCACTTCAGTCCTGTTGAGAACTGTGCAGAATTTCAGGTGAAGTGAAGATCTGTGATTGAAAACAAGTGAAAAAAGAGCAAGTGCTTGAACTCCAGGTGTTGCGGTCAAGATAAAGTGGTGATGGACTCTATCAGTCTCCTTCAAAGGAATTCTTTTAATGGCAAAAGCTATTGCAAAACTGGGTTAACTGTGGGTCCTCAGGCATACTTGTCTTGCTGCAAATGGCATTTAACTGTGAGTATTTGGAACTATACTCAGGCCTAGGGTGACTTAGAGAAACTTTAAGCAAAATTTTACTTCAGGGGCACCAGTTGATCTGAGTGAATTTGTGCTTTGCCATCCAGTGCATCCCTTTCATGCTAAATTCTGAGTATTTGGTCCTATATTGCCTGCTTGCAATGATTGGGCTGTAAGAGTAGGTCTTAGAACCTGTTTAAAGAGATTTAAGAGCATCATAATTAATTGGAGCTTAGGTGTTCTCTTTGCCAAYTATTCATTTCAAGCTAACAGTGAAGGAGGGCTAGAATCTTTCCCACTTTTGATTATTTCGTTCCAGGCAGAAACTTGGATACGCAAGGGAGAAACCCATTTGCCTGCTTGTTGCTGTGGTTGGAGCATCTTTACAGCACAGCTCAAGCCTTGGTTCCTTTAACAAAATGCATTCTGTGTACTGGCCTCTAGCATATTTCACCATTACTTAAGCTTTTAAGATTCACCACATACAAACTGTGCCATCATTTAGTAGTCTCTGAAGTGCAAAGTGCAGAGATTCATGCAGGAGGCTTATTATTGCTGTCTTCTCATCTGCAATATTTATTATCTTCTGCAGTGTGTACCTGGGAGCTTGGAGGATCCAAAAACTGTGACACATCATAAGTTGATACATGCTACTTCTGAGAAGGTGCTGACAGACACAAAAACAGTGTTAGAGGAGAATATTCAAGATAGAGGTAAAACTTCCCCCCCCCCCCCCCAACTCTCCCCTTTTTATCCTATCAGCCTGGAAACATGAAACTATTTTATTATTTGGCAAGTTGCAAGCTGTGACCTTTTAGTATCTACTGCCAGCCTCAACATGAGGAAGCTAATAAGATGGCAAAGAGGGAAGAGGAAAAATACTTTTTCTCTAGGGAGGGGGAGGAAACGGCATTAACTGCTTGGTCATAGCAAGCTGTTGGGCAAGTGCTTCTTTGCTTCTTGCCCTGCGGCGTGTCCTGCTGCTGTCAGGGAGGTAAGACAGCAGCCAACAGCTGATTGTCACTGAGCTGCCGAGCTGAACAGTTCTCGCTGACTCTCTTGCTGCTTCGTGTGGCAGCCAAAAGCCAGTATGTCGATCCCTTTGCATTCTGGCCAGCTGGACAGATGAGGGTTAACAGCATTCACCAGCCATCTGTTGGTCTTGGCTGTTATATATGGATCCAGGCCTGGGAAACTTGTTGCACAAAGCACGATTTGTTTGCTTTTTACTTGCTTAATGTGATGGAGTAAAAAAAATAGGGCATGTCCTGCTGTATCTGGCTGAAGGATGCAGATGCTGCCCAGGCCAGGGCTGATTTGGGCCCCAAGCAGTGTGTCCGCTCCCTTAAAATACCTCTGGTAATAAGTGGGGAGCTTGAAAAAGATGCCTTGTCATGGCGAAGTGTTAGCTTTAAAAGACTGAATCAAGTGTGTGGTGCTTGGTCTGGGGTATCTGAAACTGAAGGCTCTGCCCTTGAGATTTGCCTTTGTGGTGGCCAGTGATGCACCCTGCTGCAGACAGTGACAATGGCTCTGCTGCCGCTTGTGTGCAGAGGTGAGTGARCTTCAGCCTGGTGCTAGGAGCTGCCACCAGAGCTTTGGATTTGACTTACTATAGTCAAGGCCCCAGGTGGAAGCAAAATCCCCACACCACACGCAGCCTTTCTGCACTGCTTCCCCAGTGGAAGCTCAGGAAGCACTGTTGTACTCGTATTATAATGGGCCAATTACTATATTAATACAGCCACAATACAGCAAGACGTGTGGAGCCTGTGGTATTCTCTGAGGGTGTTGTGTGAGGAGAGAAACCAGTAGTAATGAAAATGTAGCTGAACTCGGGTGCTACCATCCTACCATTACATGAGTACATCTGTTTTAACTGATGTCAAGCTCTGTCATCATGTCTAGTGCTTTGCAGCTGTAAAGTATCTCTCAGGAGTTATTTTCACTTTATTTTCTAACACGTTTCAGTATCATTCTCTTCTAGATGTCTTACTCTTAATAAAGAAGCGTGTACCCCCTCCACTCCCTAAAATGGCAGATGTATCAGCAGAGGAGAAGGTGAGTTTGGATGAGTTCTTGACTATCCTTGTTTAACAGCTTTATTATGGAGTTTCTGAAGGACTACTGGGCTCTGCTGCTTTTTTGTAGAGGCAAATGTACCCAGCTAAATACTGTAGAATCTATTTCACCTTCTAAACTTCTAAAGGAAACTAATTTTCATTTTTAATTTTGAGAACATTTGCCTTAGAATAAAAGATGCAGATATGCTTTGTGGAGGTAATATAGATTTGATCTTTGAATAAATGGCTAGTAACCGTGCAAGTGGGGCCATGCAGCAGGTTCAGTTTTGCTCTGCAATCCCAAAATGGTATTGGTGCTCTTAATCCTTTGTACTGCTAGACTACTGCTGCTCAGCTGCAAGCTACAGAGCCTTGCCTGGTGCCCTGGTGAAGGATATAAAATTCCCACCAGCCGTGTTTTTTGCTGTGTTCTTTGTTCTGTGGATAATGGGTTATGAAACCTGATCGTGTCTCCTATCTTTTAGAGGAAACAGGAGCAGAAAGCTCCTGATAAGGATGCTATTCTCAAAGCAACTGCAAATCTGCCTTCTCGCAATGTCGATCGCACTGTGGCCCATCACAACATGAGGGATGTAAGTATTAGACTTTTTTTCTTTAACCTTGTGCACTAACATCCGGGCAGGCTTTTTTCTTACATAAGCTTTTTTATACCCTGTGAATATGATTAGTCTTTTTTCCATAATAGGAATTCAGGTATAAAAATATGTATCAAACTCAATTGCATGACTTGAATCTAAATCTTCTTAAGCTATTCAGTGATTAGGAGGAAAAAAGCCTCCAAACCTTCTGTACTGAATTGTGATTTGAAGTGCTGCTCATGCATAGGAGAGTTCAGTAACTGTTTTTAAGATCTGGAAAATGTGAAGTCAGTTATAAGTGAAAAGGGAGAATTGCTTTCAATGTCTTAGCTCTGCATTCTCTAGTGTACAGTTACTATTATGTGTTTAAACGGGTGATGTTTTTTAACTGTAGAAGGCTTAAGTAATCAGTCACTGTAACAATTAAGAATATTTTATTCAGTCTGAAATAGCTCGGATGTTTACACTGTCTTTCATATTCCGTGGCTTTGATAAGAGAAATTATTCTGAAACTTGGACTTCAGTAGTTGAATGCAGCTCTTATATCTTTGGCAGTGTGTAGCTACTGTCCCTTCTGTACCATTAGGGGTATGAGGTAGCAAACATGCCTACGTACTGCATAGTGTTAAAATGTCCTGTCAGCCTAAAAAGGACTGGCATTTAAACTGGCATTTAAGTTATTTAATGGCTAATGTGACCTTCTGGACGGAATTATTAAAAATAAATGCCCAAGTGAAGAGAACGTGTGATGCAGCAGTTCAGAAATCTTGGTTTAGGTTGCCCAAATTCAGGTTACTAGAAAGCAAACTAAGAAAACTTGCCTCACAGGAATGAAGGTCCCTGCTTGCTAAAAGCAGCAGATAGTCACAGTAGCTCTGTACCAGTGCTATCTTCTTACAGCCCTTTGCCAGGTGGGAGTCATGTTTCTGTGGAGCAGTGAGTTTTCCTGGATGCTCTGCTGCTTGTGGTGCTGAGCAGGGGACTGTTGTAGAAATAAAAGGACCTTTCTGCCTGCTACATCTTGCTAGAGCAATTCAAAGGAAGCACCCAATGCTTGAGAGTCTAAACTACAAAAAATTCTTCACCTTCCCTGCAGTGGGGGGTAGATGTTGGCAGAGATGCTAACAATAGATATATTAAGATTTAATAACATCTGATAACTTGCTATCTAAATGTTTTGACAGTTTCCTTTCTTGCAGTTCCAGACAGAGCTCCGGAAGATCTTGGTTTCTCTCATAGAAGTTGCACAGAAATTGCTAGCACTGAATCCAGATGCAGTTGAGCTATTTAAGAAGGCAAATGGTATGAACGTATCTTTATGGTTATTAATTTCATCCCAGGAACTTGCTTCCACAGCAGGAGAAAAGGCTTGCCGAGTGAAGCAAAGAACTTGCAGAAATACCAGAGGTGTAATAATTTTGAGGCAAAGATTTCATCTTGTGCTGTTGGCTGTATAAAATTAAGTCTTTTGGGATAGATGAAAAATTGATTTAAAAGTAAAAGTGCTAGTAGTAAAACTGGAACACTTGCACCTTGTTGGGGGTGAAGAATTGTTGAAAATTCGCAAGCAAATAGCTAAATGAGGAAGAATGTAGCTGTTGATGTGCTCTGTGACAAATGTTTGCCCTTCATCTGGTAGGACCAAATCTCACCTTTTTAAATAAACTATGTGAACCTTTTACACGGTTATTCAGTGATGTGGACATCCCATGGGAATGTGAGAGTTTGTTGTCAGAGACTGAATGCACACAGACAAGGTTTTTTGTCCTGGAAAAATCTATCTGATTCAGATCAAGCTGAATGCAACAAACAAAATAGTGAGATAGCAGATTTGGTGCAGAAACAAAAGTGGGGATTTGAAGAGGAGAATGGGATTTGAACTTAGCATGTCTCTTTCCATTGGGGAAAGGATTTATTTTAGCTCGACGTACGTCTGAATGTTGGTCTTTGTGTGTATATGTAGCCATGCTGGATGAGGATGAGGAAGACAGAGTGGACGAGATAGCTCTGCGGCAGCTTACAGAAATGGGGTTTCCAGAGAGCCGAGCTGTGAAAGCCCTTCGATTAAATCAGTAAGTGTGCTCAGCCTACTGGCTGTAAATTATTTGGTATGATTAAAAAAGTGTTTGTTTTTCTTCAAAGTCTCTTTATGTGGGTCACCTAAAATTAGTTTGGAGGAAACGCTAGCACAGGAAAACAGGGCTGCCTGAGGCGTTGCACAGATGCAGGTGGTACAGGGTAGGGGAAGCAGTGCTCTACCTGTTCTCCTTGGTCTGTGCTTTGTAAGGCTCTCAGGCTGGCACTGCTCCTAGGTGTTAAACTAATGCTTAGAAATTCAGCTTTTGATGAAAAAGTCCATCCAGAGTGGCCTTTGAGCTGTAGGAATATACTTCATGCTGTTCTTGTTGTTCCTTGACCACAAAGTGTCTGAGATCTTCTGTGAAGAGCAACAGAGCAGCTTATGTCTGAAATGTATTTCTGAGCAACGTGCTTTGCTGTTTCCTCAGTAGTTGCAAATGGTCAGTGATTGATGGGAAATAAAGCCGCTGGTGTGGAGAGTAAGGTGACTCCCTCAGAAATGCCTTTCACAACCTGGAGGTCAAAGTTGGACTTTGCTGCTCTGTCTTTCTGACTTCAAAGATGCTTGTGGTGTCTCAAGTGCATCAAGAATAGAGGTGCTCTGAGAATTGCTTCAAGACTGTGTTTATGAATTCTCATATTAATAAGCAAGTCAACATATGATGGGAATGAATGCAAAGAAAAATGTATGTGGAAGAGGCCTGCTTTTCTGAAGTGTTCCTTATCCCTGTGGGTTTTATTTGCTTTTCAGTATGTCAGTGACACAGGCCATGGAGTGGTTGATAGAACATGCAGATGACCCTGCTGTGGATGCTCCGCTTCCTGGTCAAACTCCATCAGAAGCTGCAGCTGAAGCTGGTGCATCCTCCGCTGAAGCGGTTGCAGGTCCTAGTTCAGAAGTTGGTGGGGAAGAGGCCAAAGATGAGCTGACAGAAATATTCAAGAAGATCCGGAGGAAAAGAGAGTTTCGTCCAGACCCACGAGTATGTGTGTTGTATCTCACTATTTGTATAGCTATTGGGACATAGAGGGACTATGGGCACCATGGAACCCAAATATTTAGTTAAGGGACACTTGTGTGCATGTTGTACTGGCCAGACAGTGTTTTAGTGGGAATCTTTAGGGGCTGCTTAAATTCAGATGGCTGAAAGGAACATTACCTAACTAATACATTGCTGTCTCAGGTACCAATGTCTAAATTACTGGTGCTATTACTTTTACACCTGAAAATCAACTATTGTAACGTGAAATCAAGTGCTGCTAGACTCCAGCATTGCCTTTTGATTGCCCTCAGAGAAGAAAGGATCGCAGGGCAAGAGTGGGTCCTTTGCTATAGAAGAGGACAGAGTAGTATAATTTTATTTAGGGGACATAAGAGAGTATCATCAGTAGATGAAAAGCTTCACAGTAAATCTGTTAGCCTTTCTTCAGCAAGAAGTGAAAATCTTCAGCAAGATTCCAAGATTTGAAGTAAAAATATATGGTGTCATCACACTGCAAACTCACCAGGAGGTGCTCTTTAGAATCCAGCACTTTGTTTTAACAGCTAGAGGTTTCTTGTGATTTCAGCTGGAATCTGTAAACAATGTAGTGATTGACCTAATAATTGAGTATTCCTATAATGATATCCAGGTACAAATACCTAAATACATAATGCTCACTAGCAGACCTAAATACATAATGCTCACTAGCAGTATGTAGTCAACCCAGGAAGTAAAATTAAATCTAGTGGCTAGAACTACAATGGAATGTATGGACATGGAATGTAGATCTCGGTGAGACACGAGCAAAGCTCTGAGGTAAGAGATTCTAGATTAATGGGCTTCCATCCTGCTTATTTAAGATTAAGTCCATGTGCACAGCAGACATTTCAGGTGCACAGCAGATGACAAGTTTGTGGATAAGTCTACGTGGTAGTCTACAAATGGAGACAGCTGTGTATAGCCCTGCAAAAAGCTTCCTGGCCACAAGGTGAAAGGATGTGATTGTTGTTGTTTGTGTGTTAAATGTTGTATTAATTAAACCGTGCAAATCTATTGTAGGCTGTCATTGCCCTGATGGAGATGGGGTTTGATGAAAAAGAAGTGGTAGATGCACTGAGAGTAAACAACAACCAGCAAAATGCAGCTGTGAGTACACTGCGATTTGTTTCTTACTGCTATAATAATTGCCTGCTCAACCGATTTGTTTATCATTAATTGTTTTTGATTGTATTGTAAAGCCAAAACATTACTGAAATAGAAATAAATGCTTTCAGTGTCCCTTGCAGAATAGTTGCACAACTGGAATACAAAAAGTTTTTAAGATATTTAAAAGAACTCAGCCTGCGTAGGGTTAAGGCTGATGCAGTATTATATGGATTTTCAGAAAGCTTTTGAAGAGCTCCTTCCCTCGGGATTGCAACTAAAGAAGTTATCCTATCATGAGAAAGGGGGGGGATTTCCCATAATTAACTGATTAAAGGATAGGAACACATGATGAGGCAAAAGATTCAAGCCATGCGATGTATGAATTAACATTCTGCACTTGTGTATTCCACAGCTTGGGAAGGTCAAGATGTGAAGGTTTTTGAAGACTGACTAGTCTCCTGTTAGTGACTATGTTAAGCAGCATGATGTAGGTGCAGCTGATGGTGACAGAAGCTTCTTTCTTAAGCATCTATTGCTGGCAGCTATCAGAGAAGGGATATTGGGTTGGGTAATTCTTCAGACTGACCTACTGACTGCATGCTGATGCAGTGCCTGCTCTAGGAAACCTGTCTGTAGGATGACTTGTCTTCCCTCAGCACTGAAACATCCAAAGCTAGTGACCATTTATTACCATACGAGGCAATGCTGCTGCTTCTGTTGAAGCAAAGGTTGACTATTTTTTTGCGGAGGGGGGAGAAAAACCCAAGTGAGTAGTAATCTACTGTGAAAAGAAATACCTTTAACTGCAGAAGAGAGGGAGAGAATCATCTTTAACATGCCACTTTGTCACAGGTTTTGACAGACTTTTGTTGTAATGGAACCAGTTGTGAATGTTGTGCCTGTTTTTTTTTTTTTTTTTTTTTCCCAGTGTGAATGGCTGCTGGGAGACAGAAAACCTTCTCCAGAGGACTTAGATAAGGGAATTGACACCAATAGCCCTCTCTTCCAAGCCATCTTAGAAAACCCCGTGGTACAGTTAGGGCTAACAAACCCTAAAACTCTACTAGGTAAGTACTGTTTGGAATACTGTATGGCAACATACACCTCACTGTTAACRTCAGGTCAGAGAAATGGAAAGTAACTTGTGTGAGTTGCCAAACAAAAGCTGAGCTCTAAGACTTTGCCTTGCCAAAGTTGAGATAATGTAGGGGAAGGTGTTTTCCATGTCTTGAGGTTCAGCTTGAAAGCAAAATTTGTGCCACCTTKGTCAGAAGAGCTGTGAGTTTGGCAAGCACTGACTTTATAAGCCTTAAAGTGAAATGTAAATCTCTGGTTTGATGGCTCTTACAGGGGAGGACGATGCAGAATGACCTTGTCCCTGTGTTGTACATAAACTTTGCATTTAATTGTCTCAACTTTATTTGAGGACTTGCTTTTAAATAAAGGGTATATGCACAGCTCTTGGAAGAGTGTCTTTTAAAATACCTGCTTTAAATGTAATTAACAGAATTTGCAAGGCTTTAAATAATTCAAGAGCAGAATATTCTCACCTTGTTTTCTGAACAAATGTTCTCTCTGTTTCCAAGAGGGTACCACACTGCAGCTCAGAATATAAATAGAAAATGAAATGCTATTATATGCATTTGTAAAGCTTGGGTGAGCATGTGAATATATTCCTAATGATGCATCTGCAAATAGCTGATGTCACAGACTTTAATAATGAATGTTTGCATTTAATTGGATGGTTAAAGTTGATAAATCTTTTGGTTTTAAACTCTTGAGTCTGTAAAGAAATAATAGTTATGGGGAAAGCTGGGATCTGTGCTTTTATTTTGGGCTTTGTCAGAGGCATGCTGCATGGCCTTGAGCAAGGTGTTAGTAGTTAGGCTTTCGTTGGTCCTGTTCCAGCATGATTCGATGCTCTTAGTTTTTGATTGTCCAGCTCAGTCTGGACATAAAACTTAAATTTTTGGCTGGCTTGTTCTTCTGCCATACTGGCAACACGACTTTTGCAGTAACTCTCCAATTTTGRTGAATTCTTGAGCTTTCAAAATAAGTAACAGAATTAAAAACTGCCGGTCCCAAAGCAAAGAATAGCCCTGCAGCAATTTCTAACTTTTCTGTTTAAGCATTTAAAACCTTGAAGCCTTTGCAAAAATAAAGGACTAAGTGTGTTACAACTTTGCTCTCTTGGCAGCCTTCGAGGATATGCTTGAAAATCCCTTGAACAGCACCCAGTGGATGAATGATCCCGAAACGGGGCCCGTCATGCTGCAGATCTCTCGGATCTTCCAGACACTGAACCGCACGTAGAGGGGGGTGCCGGCCCACTGTGCCACTTCCTCCTGTCCCTCGCTCCACCKTCCTGGCCGGAGGGCACGTGGCTTGCTGGGCACGGGGAGAAAAAGCCTTCTGCCCGGCCAGGGGGGCTCGCAGGACAGCGTGGGTAGTTGTGGCCMACCTGAGGTTCTTGCCTTGTGCATTTAGTGTTAGTGGAAGAGGTTTGAAGACTTATTTTTGTTTTGGGGTTTTAGGTTGAAAAAAATATTATATATATACAAATATAGGAAAAGGTTTTGTGAATGCAATTAAGAATCTGATTGGCGAGATATGTGATGATATTGCTCGTGTTTTAAGCTCCGCAGTAAAAGGCCTGTGACAGTAGTTTACTAGCCAGTTTCACTAGTATCTGGCTAGAGTTTACAAGAGGTCACTGACCACTAGCATAGGATATTAATCATCTCCATACAGTATTAACTTATGGATATATCAAATTATAAAAATGCTTTTTAAAATTGATTCTTAGGAAATGTTTTTTAAAAGTCCAAATGTTGGGAGAGCAAGCACATTTCTATCCAAACTTGTTTGTCTTGCATTATAATTTAAATGAAATCATTCATAGATGGAATTCCTTCAATAAATAGCATTACTTTTTCCTATTTATTTTCTGCTTTAGTGTTGTTCAAGTTCTGCAAGGTTTAGGCTCGTAGGTGATTGTCAGCTACATTAAAGATGCAGTATCTCTTTCATGACAGAACTTGCAACAACACCACCACTTGGATTCTCAAGTGCTGCAATTCATAACCTTACACTCTGCCATACCCTAGTGTGAGAAGGCTCTATTCACTCTGTGGTTTTTCCATTTTGACGTGCATGATTTTGGGAAGGGAGGCTTATGTTGAGTTTATTTTTCAGACTCCGTTTACAMAAAGATGCTGTTTGCATGGGTTGAATGGTAATCTGCAAATAAGCAGAAATGCGTATGTTTTTATCTTGCTTAAGGTATTTAAAAGCACGCTTGAAATTACTTTCTCTGAGATGGAAGTGTTTTTCTCTCGCTGTTTTTTTTAAGTCCTGCAAGTACCAAGAATGTTAAGCTGTGTCTTTCCTAGTTTTATCAGAAGACTGACCTGAGCTTCTAATGAAAAAACTTCCAGTGAATAGTCAGATTTTATGATGGGTTATGGTGGTATTATTTTAATGGTCTAAAATGTTTTTTCTTTCAACTTAGTGCCACATGATTGACATCTGTCAAGTCTTATAATACACAGCTTTTCCCTCTTGGAAAGGCAGGCTGTGCAAAACCTGCTTCTCCGTAATACAGAGCAACCAGAGGGAGGTCCTATTCTTAAACAGCACAGAGGGGTCTCTCAAGGGGCTATACTGAGGTCTATCCTCTGCTGCTTGAGAGTGGGCTCTTCATTGCTGGGGCTTGTTGCGTGTGCGTTAGGGCTGTTTTTCTTTGCTGAAAAAGAAAAATGCGGCAGGAGGTAACCCGAAACCCCACAACAAGTTTTGGCCTGAGCTTGGTATCTCATCTCTGTTATTATGCAGCCAAGGCTCTGAAGTTGCCAATTTCACATAATTAATACAAAGGGTGGGGAAATCAAAACAGCATGGGATTTTATCATGGCTTACTATCCCAGTGTTTTTTTATTTTTATTTTTCGTAATTGCATATTAAGCTTGCACTTCAAGAGGGCTGAAACTTTTGCATCTGAAAATTCTGAGCTTTATAGGAATTTATCTTCTATTCACATTGTTTGCTCAGACTCCTGTTAAGAACAGGTTGACAGCCTAACATGAAATAACTTTTCTGTAGCTAGCAAAGCCAGGAACCTGATCTCGGAACCCTGAGTGTTTGGTGCAGCTACTCACGAGTAGTTGTGACTAAAGGCTGTGGCAGTATGAAAACCTGTGGGTTTTTTGTTTGTTTTCCTCATTCCCTGCAGTTTTTGACRTGTCATACTACCAGAGGACGTTGTTATTTGAAATTAAGTCTCTTTCCCTATTCAATCAGGGTAAACTGTCCATAGTTTTAGTGATCCTTTCTAAAAGATGAAGGTGGAGAAGAAAAACTAATCTGAAATATATTCTGGCTTTTGTATAAACAAGACCAGCTTCAGGATCCAGGATCAGGATTCAGGATCAATGCCACGGATACTTTAATAAAAACAGAAGCATCAGGATGGCATCATGTAACAGATGAAGGTAGGAATGCCCAGCCTCACCACCATAACCAAATGCTGCAACTGCAGTTAGAAACCTTTGGATTAAAGGCATACTGCATCTTTAAAATACTTGAAAGCTTGAGAATGTGGTTATTTGTGGCTTTCCTTCCAGGGCTCAAAAGCAAGGCAGCTTCTGATTTGCCAAAGTTTCTTTCTTGGCACGGTTTCAGCAAAGTCTTCCTTGTCTGAGAACTCAAGTTTTCAGTAGTAGGAAAATGCTGGAACTTAAGGTGTGATTGTTCCCAGCAAGGACTAGGAGTTTAAAACAGAAACTACCCTTTAGGTTAAATCAGTATTCAAGAAATTGATAGCACCGGTCTTGTCTTTTGGGGATGAATTAGTACTAGGCTATGGAGCTGTGTCTCCCATGGCAYCTGCATATTGCTACTTCATCATGGTTAATGTGTGGTTTTGGGGAGAGGGATTAAGACTTTGTGCTTGCAAAAGTATTGATCCTTTTCTCCCCACTCCCTCAAAAATCACTGCTACTGAGTTAGCATGTGCAAGGACAGATCTCCCGGTGCAAGGAGAGAGTAGCAAGGCTGCTGCCTGCGGGYGCACTGTCTGAAGGGTGCATGTCCTATGGTTCTGGTCTGTAAGGCAACGAGATCCCCGAGCTCTGTGAGGAAGAACTACTCACAGGAATTAAGGATTTGCACATTWGTCTCCTGTGCTTGTGCCTGTCCAACTTAAAGAGCAAAGACAGCCACAGTTGGGTGTCTCATAACATGGTCGAGGAAATATTTGGAAGACCAATGAAATCAAGGAAAAGGGAAGAAGGGATGTGGCAGGTGACTCATCTAATGCAGCATCTATTTCTTGCAGTTCTTCTGACTCTGCCCCATTGGTTGATATGGACAATCTTCTACCTTTTGATATTACATAACTCCTGAAAGCTAGCTAGCTATTTATTTAAATATATGTAACTTATAATTTTTGTCATCAAAGCTTTGATATTTTTAATAGAAATGTACTATATGGAAGTTTGTTCTCAGGGCTTCATATTTATACTGTCTTTACACCCCTTWACAGCAGGGGTGCATTTAAAGAGTTGTATTTGGGGTAAAATGCTGTCGGTCAATGCAACTCGGACCTGGGTTGGTCTTGACCAGTGAGGCAGAGCTAACTAGAATTATTTATTCTAATAAATTCATAGTCTTAGAGACAGTCCAAAGAACCTGCCATTCTTTTCTGTCCTTGGGAGTGGTGGCACGAGTCTTTTCTCTGAGCTTGTGGCATCGTTGCATCAGGATGGTCACAGGAGGCTGCCCAGCCGCTTCAGTTCGCTCATCTTTACGCTGTGTCAAGGACACTTCTGCTCTCCAAGCAGCTGGAAAATTAACTTGCAATCTTCCTAGTACAGCCATTAACAACTGCTGTTCTAGGAAGGCTCAAGGTTCACTTCTTGCAGAGCTCTTAAACCTCCCACTAATTGCATCTCTTTGGCTGCTCACAGCCTGCCTGTATGGCCCAGAACTTCGGCCCCCATTTACTCTCCTCACTCTCACAATGATAAACTTAGCTATGAAGRCCAATCCCCCAAAGACAAGAAGTACTTAAGTGGTTATTGAAATCCTTTTTAGTTGGAACAGTTATTTTCATGAGGCTGAGTATCTGCAATACACTTTGCAACACTTAAATAAGTGACTTTCACCAAACGAATGTATTGGAACACTGTCAGCAGGTGTTACCTGTGGAACAGGTACGGAGGTTCGCAGTGATCTCAACTTCAGTGGCAGCTKTCCAGAAGTAGTGTGCATGGGATAGTAGCTCGTCCAAAATAAAAGCCCCATTTTTCTACTTTTAATAAGCAGCATTTTTACTAACAGGTAGAATAGCATCGTTTGCAGCAGGGTTTTGCCAGCTGGTTATAACTCCTTCAGCCACTAACTACTAACAGAGTCCTCCTCTCTAGACGGCGCTTCTCCTGAAGCGTTTGTGTTGGTGGCTCCTAGGGCTGGGACAGTGAATTAACCTGGCCAGTGTCACAGTCCCTGTCACCCCTCAGAGGGAAAGAAGTTCTGTAGAGTGAGTCTGCACAAATGTGGCATCGTCGTGGTCGTCGCCTGCACCCCGATACCGAGGTGTAGCCTAAGGTTTGTTGAGAACCTTTTGTCCTAGACTTAAAGGCCTTCAATGCAGAACTTGTTTGCAGCATGTGATTTTTCTCCAATAAATTTAAATGCATTGTTCTTGCTGAATTTGGATATAGTTTGATATCATGCTGTGAGGAGAGGAAAGCAATTGGATCATGTTTTTAAACTAAGTCCCACAAAACTAAATGTCTCATTACAGCAAGTAAGAAGCCTGTAGCGAGTTTTTAATTTGTGTATTTTTATCCTAGTTTAATGAACTGTACGAAAATGTGTTTTGCCATCGGGCACTCACCACACAGCAGCACCAGTAAGATTATTTTGCAAGGTACTGACCATTTTTCATTTCACCTGTGTATAAAACAGATCCGGCGCACGGGAACTCTTCCATGGAAGTGGCACTGATGTGTGGCATGCACTGCTGTTTACAAGATGTAATGTTACTTCATGAAGCTGAGCTAGGGCCAGCATCCCTGAGCCTGGCGAAATCAGGGGTCATTCTAGATGTGCCAGAGTGGGTCCCTGACCTCTCCTGCTTTGAGACAGCAGCCCTCTAGGCAAAATCAAGGAATTGCTACTAATTTGTTAATGTTTTAAAGCTTTGTCTACTGAAATGTATGGCTAGAAGTTGGCCAAGGGTTGTTGGCCAAGCCAGACTTGTTCGAACTGAAGCGCGTTCCCTACCTTCAGCACGTGGCGGTCATAACCACGAGCGAGGCTGGAATGAACGCTGAGGCTTTAAACCTGTTCTCACACACACACACACACACACACACACACACACTAAAGACACTGATGTTGTGTTGTAAATTTATAATATATCTTAAAAATAAAGTTTTTTGATTTATTACAGGCTGTTCTGGAACATCATTTCGAAGAATAATAGCAGTTATGAATTCACACTGTTTGTTTGTATTAGAGTAACAGGAAAAAAAGCTATTTCGATAGCTCGTCAACAACCTACAACATGATTTGAACAGAAAATCCTGGTTTAGCACTTGTTTCTGCACCTGGAAGGCATTTCTTTGCTTTCCAGAAACAACAGCTTTCCTGTTTAAGGGCTGTGTGAAGTATTTGGGGCTCCCCTGTGACAGATGGTGCCATGTAACGGGGATTGATCTTGACTGACCAACTGCTGGTATCTTCTCCCACAGCGAGAGGGAATCCCTGAGGAGGAGAAGGGAGCTCGAGCAGCCGGCAGCAGTCGGCAGCGGGGTGTGCACGTGAGTAAACCCAGGTGCCCTTTGGCTCGCGTGGTGCCAGCRGCGCTGCTGGCTCCTTGGCATGGAGCTGGGAAGCGCCTCCAAGTCTTGCCCACGTGTGTGCGGCTGCGGGGAGGACCCAGGGAGGTGTAAATGTGTGAGGTGGTTTCCCTGGAGAACAGGTTTGGTTGTCAGCGTTTCTACCCTGCGTACAGGGTAAGGAGGAGCASCTGCAGCAGCTGTCAGCACAGCCGTGTTGCGGCAACTTGGGAAGAGTTTGGAGAAACCATCATGGCATTTGTGGGGAGAGGGCTGGACCAAGACCTCTAAATGCTTCTTATTGGTGCAAACTTTCAAATGTTATAACCTACAGATATAACATCTATATAATATACATACAGATATAAAGTACAGATTTTTTTGTCTTGAATGGCCTATAATTTAGATTTCTTTAAACGCACAAATTAGCAGCAGGATGCAGGACAGATCAAAGACCCRTCTTTGCAGTAATCCACTTCTTAACCTACCAGCAATTTGTGGTGTATCATTTAGCTGATGATGCTTCTGAACCTGAACTGGTACAGCAGGTCTGTGCAGAAATCCACACCTTAAAAAWTTAAAAAGTAGCTGGTAGGAGAGTGACAAAGCGTGTGGTAATTGCCCTGGTGCTTGCGGGGACGGAGGCRCTGGCCCTCTGCGGTGACAGCAGGACGAGTAACCGCTGCCTGCAGCTTCCCTCCGAGCCCAGGGCTGCTCCACAAGGGCACGTTGAGCAAATTTGGCTCGTTAGTAACCTCGCCAATGCTAACACACYGGTGTGGCTGGAGAGTGCTCATTTCCTCAATGGGTGGTTTGCTAGCAAGCTCTGTGGGCTTCCAGGGTTACTTGCTGCTCTACCCTGAATTGGAGGTTGTTAGTAGCGCTAACCCCCAGCACGGCTTCCACCAAGGGGGAAAAAAAGGTAGTAAAATAGCAGGAAACTACCAGGTGGCTCCGCTAATGTTGCTGCCTGGACTGGGTTCCAGCCTAAACAGAAGGTGATGGCAGATGCTGCCCGTGAGTTCCTGCAGCCTGGCATTCCCCTTGGTCAGAGCAAGGCTGCAGTCTCCTCTGTGATCAAGGAATATTCTGTCCTGTGTTTGATCTCGCTGCTTGTCAGACAGCGATTCTGTGATCACTGTGATTCTGACCACGGGAGTCACAAGGGGCAGGGAAGAACTGGCCGAAAGCAGCTGCTCTTGAATGTGCTACGGACCCTCCGCTGGAACGCAAGTGGGTGCTAGGGTGGAATTAATGGTGTTAATTCTCTTGGCCCTTGCTACTCAAAAGCCTGAACTTGAACTGCATAAATTTAACTTGTGAACCTGACTGCAGCTGCAGTGGGTGGGAGAGGGGCTTGTGAGCAGGGCAGGCCCTAGGATAGACGTGCGAGACGGCAGCCGCTCAGGGAAGCCGGCCAGAGAGCGTGACCCGAGTAAAGTGATGCCAGAGCCCACGTGTATCGTGTGTCACCAGGAGCCCCGTCCCCTGCAGCCCTCYGGGACAGGACCCAGTAACTTGAGCTGAGCTGGACCTGACCACAGGGACCAAAATAAACCTGGAGAGACAACGAGCTCCCAAAGCCAAAGGTCTAAGGTGGACGTGGTTGAGGAGCTGGTGCCCAAGCGAAAGGCTCGAGAGAGCAGCGCGGGCGGGATCCTGCCTGCAGMCACCACGGCTGTCATGGGGAAGAATTCCAATTCCTGAACCGGTTTTGGTGCGCGGAGGTGACCTCAGCGGCACGGGCCGAGCCTGCCCGCGTGCGGCRACGTGCACGGAGCCGCCGGCTCGTTGGACTGGTTAAACGCGGGCTCTGCGGCCGTGGTGCCGGCGCGGGGAAAGCGGCGGCTGCAGCCCTGTCACCGTCAGCTGGTGCTTGGTGCTCGCTGCCCGCTCGGGCTTTGCTCCTCTGCTGCTGCCGCTGCCATGCTCCGGGGGAAAGCTGCATCCCCAGCTGCTGGGGTTACCTAGCGCTGCTCAGGTTACCTGGCATTCCCAGGCTGTTAGAGCTTGGCCACAACCTGTGTTATAAGAGAGCTGCTGTGTGCACTTGCAGCAAGGGTCATCTCTGGCCTCCTTGGCATTGAGCCCTCAGGTTTTGGTTTTGCTCCATCTGCAYGATCCAGGTGGAGGGGCAGCAGTGCAGCCCTGCTGAGAAATGTGCAAAGAGAGGAAAAATCCCCTCTAAGTTATCCTTTCAAAGGCCCTCGGCCAAGTCTTCCGCTGCTGCTGGCCCATCCCCACCATCTGCCYTCCCCTCTGGCACGAGCTCGGGACTGGGGCGCTCACCCTGTGTCATGGGCTTTGCCCACAGGCTGTCCAGCAAAACAGTCCTGAAATGGGGAAAAACCTTCCACCTCTCTCCTCCTCCAGGAAGCACCGTAATCCATGGTTATGTCCAAAGGGACTAAGCAGGAGGGATATGAACATTTGGGAGCTGCTTTGGGGATTTTTCCAGCCCTATTGCCTGTCCTGGGCTGCCCAGCAGTCCCCATGTGACGGGGAGGGCTGAGATTGCTGGTGGCTCCGAGCGTGCGACCTCCCTGTTCTCGCCATCCCTGTGCATGGGTCTCTTGRATTCTGTGGGTTACCCTGTCCATATTTATAGCACAGAGTGCTAAAAAGAAAAGCTCTGGGCACTTGCTCCACACCAAGGAGGGTGCCCCAGGGCCCCCAAGAAGGTGGCTGCAAGTGGGGACGTGGGTGACAGCAGCTGCTGCTCCCCCGGCTGCCTTTGGGATGTTGGAGTGCGTGGGTCTTTCTTGAGTCCAGCTCCTGTTGCTGCAGCRTTGCCATCACCACCGGCGTGCGGAGCCTCGTGCTCATCGTCCTAAAAATACTCTGGTGCATCATGTGTGCCTGGATCAAACGGCGCCCGGAGCGAGGGATGCCACAGCCTGGCTGCTCCGGGCCCGCTCTGCCTGATGGTGCCTGTGGATCCCCGCAGAGCTGCGAATGCAGTGCTCTCCAGGTGGGACAGCTCTGTGGGGAACGGGCCGGAGCAGTCGGACATGCTGCGGGATGCCAGGCAGCGTGAGGAGCTTCCCACACAATTCCCTGGCATTGCCGGGTCTGTGTGAGCTGCTCTGTGGAAGAGGCAAGGAAGGAAACCAGCGTTAACTATTGAATGCCAGCAGCACCRCAGCTAGGTGAGCTCATGAATACAATAAGTTTGACTGCATGAGGTTCGCTGCTACTTATCTGTGCTTAAATTTGTTCCATTCTCTATATTTACATGCAAAATGCTGCCTGCCTGCTGCACGTGGTTCTGCAGAGCGAGGCTGCGGCGTGTTCTCCACGCGCTGCCGAGCGGGAGGTGAGCGGGCGCTCGTGACTGACGCTTGGAAACCTGTCCTGCCTTGCTGCAATTCACCCTCGCACGACTCTTCCCCTGTTGCTAGGAATAATATCCTGCTCTCGCTTCCTACGTGCAAMATAACGAGCTGTCATAGGAAACTGTTTTGTGCAAGGGAGAAAAAGACTCTTTAAAACGGCTAGTGAAACAACTGAATCTGCTTCTTTGCTGCTACCCTATGCATGCTGTGCTGGGGGACAGTGCAGCGGATTTGATTCTCTGCCCTGGGTGCAATTGGCTGCGGTGACACTGAGTGTGGCCCCATGAAGCCCTGAGGGTCTAAGTGAAYGTTAAGTGCTCGGCGCCGGGGCGAGCGACAAGGGGAGTCCTCGGCCTTTCCGACCATCACAAAAACTTGCAAGGATAATATCAGCCAAAAAGGCATGTGTGGACTTTTTTTGTGGTGCTGCCAGAGGGAAAATGTGCCTTTTCTGCTAATAACAACACCATTCCCATGGAAGGGGAGAAAGGGAGTRAAATGTAGGAAGTTATTAGCCCTTGGAAAGCGTGCTGTGTCCTGAGGAAAGCAACCTAAGCTGCACCGAGGCTGCCTGCGTGTCCCGGCACAGCCTCTGCCCYGCTGGCTTTGCTGCTTTTAGCACTAAGAGCATTACTTGCCCGCAGCGCCTATTCCCTGATCCCAAGGGGGTTTTCCTGGCGCTGTGGGAGAGYCCCAGCCTCGCTGGCCTTCCGAGCACCACGGGCAGGAGCTGCTCCTGAGCTGGTTCTTGCTTCCTCCACACATTCCTAACCATACCAGCACCTGCACTGTGCATGATGCCAGTTGGTATCTTCTTAGTGTGATTTTCGGAGCCACTGTCCACAAAGTAGGAACAACTGAAACCCTCTTTCTACTTCTACGTTCTCRTACTGGTAAATAAAAGGGTGTGGGAGAAATGGGAAGTCGAGGCCTGCTCCCAGCAAGGTAGGAATCGGGCACCTGCGTTTATTTTTGCAAGGTGTCGTGTTTGGCTGTGGTGATTTCTCCAAGGCTTTGTGTCCTGCAAGGGGAACGGCAGAGCTGCTGGAAGAGAAGGTCACCGTGTGTGTGTTCCCACTCTGAATGGGGAAGGAAGCCAGGAGAACAGGAAAGTTAYGTCATATAATAAAGCAAGATATTAACGTTTTCCACAAGAGAAGCCTTAAAAGATGTTTTACAGTGGAGTAAKGGAAAGAGGCAAGTGGTATGTGAATTAAGCATGAATTTACTGCTGCTGAGTATGAGGCATTAATTTTCTCATGGGAAGAGCAAACATCTTTAGTCATTTGTCAATGACCCTCCCATTTTAACTGCAGGTGTTTTATCTCCAGGATGGTTTTGAGGGCTCTGGTGTTAGCTGAGGCCCAGTCCTTGCTGAGCTTCTCCAGCATCAGCTAGGACGGTTCCCCCAGCTTCCACTTTTGGACATGCAAAGTGCCAAATCCTGCGGTTCTGGAGACCCACAGGGAGCCGCAGCACATCCCGGAGCAGGCCTGGAGGAGAGGGATACACAGAGCTGGAGGACGACGCTCCAGAAAGGAAGAGAACGTATCAGGAGGGAACACGAAGATCAACGACATTCCCGTAAGGATCCCTGTTTACGCTAAAGTGCTGCCCGTGTCTGAACAACTGCCTTGACAAAAATCTCCTTTTTTGAGTTGTGCGGTAACTTATAAAAACATTGTTTTCTCCTTGCCACATGGCTCTTCTTCCCCTGTTCATTTTCCTTGAGTCTAAGTTTCTGAATTTTTATTCAGAGTGTTCAGGGTTCTGRTTTATACGGACTCAGACTTACCGCAGCTGCCCTAACCTGCCAACCTCTTGAACCACATTTTGTTTCACGCTTTCTAAGTGATTCTGACAAGTTTAGCAAGCAGATCTGTTCTTTATCAACAGCTAAGATGCCCTGGATGCAAAACTAGGCCACTTTTCTTGTGGCACCCGCCTTGTCCCTCCGTCCGGGTCACCGATGTYGCTGTCCCCATCCGTTCCTGGGCCACGTTTTGTGCCCGGGCCGCGGGCTGAACAAAAACATTCCTCTGGTGTTTAAGGGGATTTGGATTGGGCCTTTAATACTTAATCTAGGAACAAAAGCAGCTTGTTATAACAATAAAGCCACAAAATTACAGTGTGCGAAGCCTGTAGAGCAACCTTAGCTCTTCCAGCAGAGGCTGGAAGACGAGGAGGAAGCTCCCGGCGCAGGATTCCCGCTCTCCTTGTTTGCGATCCCGCGTACAGAGGCACAGCAGCCGCTGCCATAACCTTTGAACGTCAGGTCRTTGTTCCTGGTGACGTGAATTAAAACACCCTATGTTTGGAGAAAACCACTGGTGAAACGTGTCTGGTGAAACGTGTCTTGGGGCTGTCTGGCGTTTATGGGGAAAAAACAAAACAAGGCCAGGTGAACGGTAAAGCGGGTGCTGAAATTCCCTGTTCTCCAGGTGTGGTGTCTGCTACCGAGGCCAGGGCACCGGCTGCTGCACCCTGTAAGCTTGCGGGGTAGCACGAGCTGAATAAATGCTCTTTGGGACTAGCGTGGGTGAAAACACTCGTGGTTTCTCCCACGAAGGGCTGGACTCTCAAGGCCCAGGCCATGCCATGTGTTTGTGTGAGGCCAAAGGGGGCCCGGGAATCCCGTAGGAAGGGTGGGAGGGAGCGAGAAGGGGGGGTCCTGCGGCCCCGGGGAGGGTCCCGCRGCGCCGGGACCTCCCCACGCGCGGCCTCCCCGCCACGCGCGGGCCGGCGCCGGTTCCCCCGGCAACGGTTGCCGCGGCGACGGCCGCGCGCC